TCCAGAAAAAACCCCTTGAAATAATAACTCTTAATTATTTAAGAATGAGACGTTACTACTGGCAAGTCGTTGGAACACAGGTCGGTTTGTCTGTCTTATTATTTCCCTATCGTCAATTTAAATATATAATCTGCAGGAATCTTTTTAACTGACAAATTTTTACAGCTTAATTCGTATAACACTCCATAAGAATTTTTGTTATACAAATTATCCCCATTGGTACAAACCTCCATCAGTTTATCATTTGTATCAATCATCCCCTCCTTCATAAACTATTCCTTTTTCACACCAACCGATCTTCAGCTTAAAAAATTAGATTTAATTAGTTTATTATAAGCGAATGATTCTATCTAACGGTAACAGTCTGTTTGTTCAGTCATGAGATAATTAAATTCTTAATTAAACTGGTTTAATTTGCACAAATCGATCTAATTGTAAAGTCAAATCCGTTTTCCCTCTATACTGAAAATGTCAAGCGGTTGTTCCTCGTTTTATTTAAAGGATGAAGAATTGGATCTTGTAGTGTAATTGTATTAGCTATGTCGATTTAAAATTACAACAAAACAAATGAAATAAACTACATTATCAGAATTAAATTACACTAAAAAATTAGAAGTTGAATACTAACAATAATATTTGAAATTTGGCAATATGGCATCATAGTTGAACCTTTGCGACAAAAGAATATTCAATCGTTTAACTAGAAAGCTGTCCAACGAACTGCACTACAACAATTCATCCCTTACAATCCATCAGGCATAAAGTTCCCAAATATTCGTTCGTCCTGAAAAGGACAATGAGGATCTTTAACGCCATACCGGCCATTCCGAGTGGAAGGATATGCAGTAAGCATCAGACCGTATGACGCGCGTAAAGGGTTATCCTAAGTTGCTGAAATGTATCAGCCTGGTCTCCCAAGCACTCCCTAGGTAGAGAAGGCCACTCTCCCAGGTCCGCGGTTTTGTTTAAAGTGGAATTGCTAACCACCCCTAGCGGAGACTGCCTTCGGTAAAGGACGCCATTCGTGTAGGCACCACCGACCACTATCCGTCCCATCCGCCATTCCTCATGCATTCGAGGGACTCCGTCAGCATAGTCTGAGTGTCCTCAACGCTATACGCTTCGATGGTCCGATCCTTCGTCTCCCGTGAGGACGGGGTTGCAACGAAGGTCATACGTAAGTGCTTGGGCGGAGGTCACAGATAGAAGAACAGCCTCTTCTCTGTTCCCGCTAAGAGCATCACCACTAACCACTACGAGTCCATTCCCATTGTGGCAGGGCTGAACTTTGGAATATTTCTGCTACCCCGTAGTACAGATGGTTATGCACCCTCCCCGTCTATGCAGACAGGATCTGGTACCCTAAACCTCGTGTGCCTCTGATAAAGCACCCGCCGTCCCCTGCCGACCTTAAGGCCGACACGAATCCAGCTTGTGCTTTAGTGAGGTTGCCACGCCCTCAAGGCTGCACCATTATTTTGTAACCAAGGGTTGGGGCAGTCTCAAGGAAGAATTCCGACGGACCTGGATTGAGAAAGACAAAATCCAACGGGTTGATGGATGTTTGGCCAAACCCGATGACGACAAACGCTAACTCTTCGCTCAACACGTCACTGCAGTATGTGATCCCCAACCAGATATCCCAGGCCTTCTCAATCTCGTAACGGCTTCCATGACTGGATGGTTATTGTTTATGTTTCCATGGTATTATTTATAAGTTATGAGCTTTACTTATTAAATCAAACCAATGCAGTTATAATAAAAAATAATAATATTTTTTAAAATTTGTCGATAATGACTATTCTGGTCTGGCAATCCACTCTGCAACAGACGAGTTTCATTTTGACATTCTCAGTGTTAGGTTTGGGAGATTATAAAAAATTCAATGTTTTTAGTAAGAACAATTTTATTTATATTGTACCCACTCATGATATATTACTAATTAATGATTTTATATAAGTCAAATCTGCACACGATGTATAGAGTTGAGCCTATCATTTCTCGCAGTCCAACGGCAATTCAAGCTTGTGTAATTTACAATAAATTACCGGAAGGCCTCCAGAATCACCCACCCCGGCTGTTGGCAGTTCGGAGTCAAACTTCGATCTTGGCCCGTCTAGCTACCGAGGTGGGGCTCCAGGGTCCATCATTTTAACCCCCAACGCAATCAGATCCCAAATCCATTCACACCCCTACAGTACATTTTTATTTGTTTACAATTCACTCAGTTAGGGTGGTGGAGTTTCTCGAAAACTATCATTACCATATGCAATAAAATTGTTATAATAAAATTTTTCCTCCAATAATCGGAACAGGGGACCCAGATACTCAAATGACCCTTCTTCTGGAGCCAGGTCCTCCGAGGGCCAGATACTCAAATGAACCTTCTTCTGGAGCCAGGTCCTCCGAGGGCCAGATACTCAAATGACCCTTCTTCTGGAGCCAGGTCCTCCGAGGGCCAGATACTCAAATGACCCTTCTTCTGGAGCCAGGTCCTCCGAGGGCCAGATACTCAAATGACCCTTCTTCTGGAGCCAGGTCCTCCGAGGGCCAGATACTCAAATGACCCTTCTTCTGGAGCCAGGTCCTCCGAGGGCCAGATACTCAAATGACCCTTCTTCTGGAGCCAGGTCCTCCGAGGGCCAGATACTCAAATGACCCTTCTTCTGGAGCCAGGTCCTCCGAGGGCCAGATACTCAAATGACCCTTCTTCTGGAGCCAGGTCCTCCGAGGGCCAGATACTCAAATGACCCTTCTTCTGGAGCCAGGTCCTCCGAGGGCCTAATCTGTCTGCTGCAGCAACTATTCGGCGGTAACGCAAACATCATTAAGCTTACCATATAATCAAGATTAATTTATATAGAGGTTATCTATTTTTTAAAATGCCCAGATTTTGATTTTCTTGTTAAAAAGTTATAGTCAGTCAAGTCGAAGCTTATATTTAGTCAAACAGGGTGAAAAAGGATATTAGATTAAAATATTTCTTGTCTGCTTCTTTTTAAAAATACGAATAATGAACACGGGTTAGTTATTCGAAAATTTGGTGTTGTCACTCGGCGTTACATTACAGACAAGGCGACGGCTAAGTTATACCATTTAAAACTATAAACATTGGCCGAGTTCCATTAGAGGAGGAACGAACAATAATAAATTTTCACCCTCTTTCAAATCCGAGGCGTGGATAACATAAAGAAATTTTTTTTAACCCGATCCGTATAAACAGAAGTTAAAATTCCTCTTTCTAAAACCTGTAAATGTTGTTTGTAACGTTTGCTCGTGTTAATGGCATTCTACAGAAACGTATGGTAGTAGCTTCTTTTTTATAAAATGGAACATGTTGAATACAATTTTCACTATAGCAAACAATCCAATGAGACAAAAGCAGTCATTATATCGTGACAATAACAAATAAAACAGTTTAAACTCAAAATTCAACTTAAATTAATCAAACTATACAGGCTACTGAATAATAAATTGGTTTATTTTTGATCAGTCATGTTGAATAAGCCCAGTTGAAACACAATGTGCATAAACATTGATTTCGGTTAATACAAAGATAACAAACCTTCTCGTTTCATTGAAACAGAAACTTTAGAGATAAATCAATGTTTTTATTGCGAACTTCGATGTGTTTCTTCTAATTGGTCTGTGTATTTGTTAACTCTCACATAAACAATAACGGACGGGCGATTTAATGTCAAACCACCCCGGACTTCTAATGAGGGGGGTTGAGATGGGGAGTTGGTGTCCGAGTGGATCGAGGTGGTAGAGCAGCGGCGTATCAAGCCGAAGGTCGTGGGTTCGAATCCCTCTCGTGCCATTAGCTTTTTTCATCTCAACTAAAAACCTTAATTTATTGTAAAGTATTAATTGGTCAAGCGGACCACGAAATTAGTGAATTTAATGAATTAACATGAAGTACACTTCACTAAAGCTCTCCGTCGCCATTTCAATTGTCGTCGAGAATCCAAACCGATTACACGACATTTGAAAAATGGCAAAAGGAGGGAAAACTCATAAGGTGGGGTTGAGATGGGGAGTTGATGTCCGAGTGGATCGAGGTCACGATAGCTCAGGTGGTAGAGCAGCGACGTATCAAGCCGAAGGTCGTGGGTTCGAATCCCTCTCGTGCCATTAGCTTTTTTCATCTCATCTAAAAACCTTAATTTATTGTAACTTCTAAACAAACTCCTTCTATCTCATTCCGAAGTCCTCTCGGATCGATGGTTTAACGTAAGAATCGGCACCGATTTTTCACCCCTCACGTCAATTAAAACTGGCGTTCCACAAGGAAGTATCCTAGGTCTAATCTTTTACCCATCTACACGTCCAAACGCACGACTCACAACCCGCGGACTTCACCGTAATCCTACCTACACATTCCAATCCTATCCTAGCCTCAGATATAATCCAAAAATATCTGAGCCTCATTATCAACTGGTGTACTCGGAGGCAAACCAGGCTGAAGCAAAAAAGACAAGAAGACACCTACCAAAATGAACACTAATTGTAAGCAAACATAATAAACAAACCGCTTATAAAACACTCATCATTGGGCTTACGGGGTCGAACTGTTGGGATCGGGGAAATCTTCCAACCTACAACGAATCCAAACCTCTTAATCTAACGTTTTCGATGTATCCTCAACCCTTCCTTTTACGTCACCAATCCGTCAAGATCTTAAAATCCTATTCGTGAAGTATCTGATCCTAGCTTCCTCAATTTCCACTCCACCCTACTCCTTCACCCAAACCACTAGCCCAAGCTTTTTCCTCAATGACCACTTATCATCCACTAAAACGACGATGGCCTCGTGTTCTAACCTTGTTCTAACTGGTCCTCCTGGTCGGACGACTTTTTTCCGTTTTTTTCCACAAAAAATAAATTAAATTTGAAATAAAACGATACTAAGCATTAATCAAATGGTCCATCTGAACTATGTTTCTAGTTGGTTTCAAAGTATATCAAAGGATTAACTTAAATCAACCTTCTTTTTACAGACAACCCGTCGTATTTTCGTTTGGGAAATGACGCCGAAGAATTATGCCAGGGAGGCCCGAGGGCTATCGACATGGCACCAGAAGAGCGAAAGTGGATGAGGCGATCCAGCGACCATGAGAGGGTCGTACTCGGAAGAGGCACAGCGGCTTACTACAACGTCTCTCAGAACAACACAAACCACAGAAGACACAGTTTCGCATCTTCCAGCCTCCAAAGAACCCATTCAGGTAATGTCAATATTCTGTTGATCAGTTTTCCTTAGGAAATTAGGCAATGAAGGGACGGTAGTTGGGCGCTATAGAAATCAATTCCCTTGTCGTATTACTCCTTGTATTTTTTTATATAAAAAGTTTCTTTTCCAATTGGAGTTAGTATGGTTTAAAATAATTAAGAAATGGTTTCGCCTTAAGGTATTTGGCAAATATTTTTATTAAGATGCAGTAGCATGGAGAAGCAAGGTCAGGACACTAGTAGAAACCAATTGTTATGTAAAATCAAGGTAAAGTAGAAATCTATTTTTTTGACATACCACATCCTTGGCTTTTGATCTTAAGCAGTTTCTTTTCCATTTTTTTCCATTTTCAAATTTAAGAAATCGTTTCGCCTTAAGGAAGTGAGCTCGTGCTTCAAAGTGGTGGTAGTCTGAGTTAGCTAGGTCAGGACTGTGATGGGGGTGTGGTAGATCCTCAATCCCCTGGTGGTACCACCCCTTCGTGTGAACTGTAAAAGTTTTCTACTAATCTTTAAGTGTATGAAATGGTGTTTATTTAAGAAAGTATTTATTCTTTAGATACTATAGTGTCAAGGAGCAAGGCCAGTAGTGTGAGCTTCAGTAGATTATCAATTCCCATGTCTAGCTGGATTTTAATCTCAAAAGGCTTCTTTTACTGTTTTTATCTCTCCAAATAGATGAAACAGTTTCTCCTTGAGGATAAATATCCGTGGTTTTAACAGGTGTTGGTCTAAAGTAGCAAGGTCAGAACTGTAATTGGGGTATGGTTAAAGCTGGTGGTACTTCTACTTTTATGTTGATTGAAACAATTTTTCAAAACTGTTTTTACATCTTCCATAGTGTCTAACATTTTTATTTTACAAAGGTTATGCGAAAGCTGGTAAAACGTATTATCTATTGAAGCAAGGTAAAAATTGAGGGGGGCCACTACTTTGAATTTTATTGAAAAAGTATTCTACTTTGTTTTTAAATCTTTTGATGTCTAAAACGTTTTTATAAAAAAAAGTAATGCAGGATTCGTAATAGATAGTTGTCTGATGGACCAAAGACAAGAATGGGGTGGGTGAAATAGTGCTCCAATTCTCTGGTGTCACAGTACACAGATTTTGACTGGAAATAGTTCTCTATTGTAATTTTTACGCCTTCAAATGGATTAAACGAATTTTTATTGAAGAAGTGGGCCCCCTGAAAGGTGGTAATCTGAATGTGCGATAGAAGCTTAATTCCCTCAGAACAACTTCTTGTCGTCGATTTGTTTTAACTTCTTCACATAAATGGTGCAATTTCCTTTAAGGAAAAAGGCCAGTAAGCGATAAGCTTGAATGAACCTGGTATTGTTGGGTTTAGTAGAAACACTGTTTTCTGGGGGCGTCGGTGGCCACATCGGATTAGGCTTGACCCAGCGTTCATCACTGAAGGTAAAGGTCCCTGGTTCGAATCCAGCGGGCCTGCATTGCACCCGACATACTTACAAATGGGCTGTTTTTCATAAACACCGGCACCCCGGGGGTTGATTATAACCTCTGCTGTGCGAACCCTCGTAAAACCATAATAATAAATAAACACTGTTTTCTGATGACTCCTGCCCTTGAGTATCTTTTGAAAATAATCTTCCTCTCCAGTTTTCAATATTTAAATAGATGTAACTTTTCCTCTTAAGTAAATGGGTTATTGCTTAAAAGGGATGGGTGACCGAAGAAGACTATTCAGGACTGTAGTGTTGGTGCAGTAGAAACACAATTCCTTGATGAATCCTTTTCTCATTACTTTTTAAATCAACAACGGCTTCTCTATTTGTTTTTTCAAATGTATGAAACGTTTTACGTTTTTCCCAAACGTGAATAAATCATTATTCTTAAGGGGAGTGGTAGTTGCAGGGGCCATGTCTGGGATATAATGCGGGTGTCGTGGAAGCAAATTCATCACCCTCTTCAACGACTAGATTTTTTCTTTTGAAGGAATCGTGATGTAAACGTCCATATATTTTTAATATCTTATTGACTTCTAAAGTTTACGAAATCTGTTTGTCCTCTCTCCTAGATTGTACCCTCCTAGTCAGAAACCACCTTTATCCTTTCAAACCGCTTCTAATCTTTTTTAATCCGGAACGCTCAATCAAAACCGCACAAGACAAATATTTTTCTAAGAGCCGGATTAGACATTTCCCTATTCGTAAATATAACAGCATTAAGCCAGGCAAACATGCTTAGCATAGTTTGATTCATCTTGACAACAAAAAGAATGGTCGACAGTGTAAAAAATATATGTATCGGTTCGTAAAATAATAGAGAATGAATATTATCTGTTAGTTGAGATTTATAAAAAACCACTAGGATAAGTTCATCGTATCTTTAAAAGCTTTCATGCTTTATTGAAGGATTCACCAGATGTTTGAAGATCGGTAAAATCAAGTCATACGTGTTTTCTAAGGATATCTTTTAAGGGCTGATGTCGTCTTCAGGGTTAAATTACATTTTTTAAACTTCTTAATCTAAAAGTAGCACTCGAGCATTAATTGGAATTTCAAGATGACCTTGTTCCCCCAAGAGTGGCTTTTAAGTTCTTTTTTGGTATCTCGTAAGGGCACATGTCCCCTTATCGCTGTCTGCCTCTCGTCTGCGTCAATACCAGGCTCGTATTTACAAATAAATTCCGCCAACACTTTGCGTACAGTCCCGCTACATTGTGTGCTTTAATAGGTGATAAAAAGTGACTTGAGCCTTCGGCCGTTGGGCTTTTTAATTCCGGATGCTTTTGTATTCACGCCGCGTCCCGGGTCGGCGGCGTCACGGATTCGGCCGATTTCACCGTCTTTTCGCCCTTTCTAACATATTCTATTAATCAACCGGGTTGTAAAAGCGTCATTTTTCTGTCTTAAGTTGAAAGTTTTTACGCCGAGTTTAGATAGATCTTTGTGCCGTCGAGGAAGTACGGTTCAAGGGTCTCCTGGCCCAGATTTGCTTACACAGGACGGAAAAGTGTTTTTTCCCTTTCTCGTGACTCCAGGGTAAATAGAGGTTCGTTTCATTTTCATTTTCTTAGGGTTTAAGGGCTTATTGATTCGGTCCCAAACCAAAGGAAAAACAAACGTAAATTATCTTGGTAAAGTCGTCCCCTTTAAATTTACAAATGCAAAATTACAAAAGTACATTTATCACGTTTTTTTAATTAATAAAGTAGATTCCATGCTGTATTTTACAATTAATTGAGGCGCACAATTAATTAGTGGGAGAGTTTACACACGCAAATAATGGGGTTTCATGATTATGGAATTGATAACCATAAGAAAATTATTACTTTATATAATTTGTTTAAATGGTTTTCTATCACATTTCACCTATATTTTACTAATAAACTGTTCTTAGTTTATGTTAGGTCAAATTATTATTTATATATTTTAGGGTTTTCTCGCTTTTTTCATCAATATTTTACTAATAAGCTGTTCTTAGTTTATGCTAGGATAAATTATTATTTTATGTACATACATACGTGTATGTATATTTTTTGGGGGTTTTCTGGCACTTTTCACTTATATTATTCTGTACTTCGTTTTTGCTTAATTATTATTTTATACATTTTTTAGAATTTTCTAGCATACTTCACCTATATTTTTACCAACAAACTGTTCTTAGTTTATGCTGGGTCAAATTATTATATATATTTTAGGATTTTCTCGCTTTCTTCGTCAATATTTTACTAATAATCCGTTTTTAGTTTATGCTAGGATAAATTATTATTTTATGTCCATACATACGTGTATGTATATTTTTTGGGGGTTTTCTGGCACTTTTCAATTATATTCTTCTGTTCTTGGTTTATACTTAATTATTATTTTATACATTTTTTAGAGTTTTCTAGCACAAATGCAAAAAAAATTATGAAATAATAATTTGCCTAGCAAAAATCATAAACTGTTATGTTTAGTTTATCCGTAAAATATGGGTGAATTGTGCTAGGAAACCCTAAAAGAAATATTTAAAATAGTTATATATATATAAAATAATACTTCCACCATCACCAAATTAGGCTAGTTTTTTTTGGGGGGGCGGGAAATTGAGTTTAAAATGAAAGAGGTCGTAATATGAAATATTTTTATTACAGATAAATTACAGATTAATTATATTACAGATCAAATTTTATCTGTACAAATCATACGAATGTATTTATTAGATTGAATTTTTTATGTATATGTAGGTGGTCCTGTGGAGGAATATACAGTACCTTGCGGACCCACCAGCCTATGTTAGTTTTATATATGTATATCTTTTTTTGGTAATTGTGGACGAGACACCGTCGTAAAACACCGGTGTCTCATAAATTTTTACTTGTATGAACATACTTATGTATAAGTATGAAGTTTCAAGATAGTGTGAATCTTTTTAATAACGTGAATGTATTTATTAGCAGGAATGACGGTGGATCCACAGTGTCCTAAGACCTGCCAAACTTAGGTTAGGCCCAATATACGTATGGACGTATCAAGATGGTTGCGAAGCCTTTTCAGCACGTGTGGAAGTGCCATTTAGGATGAATAATGTAGTGGCCGAAGTTTCAACAAAAATGGAAGGTCCCAAGCATAGCCCTAGCGGTACCTAGCCGGCCAGAAAAAAATAATCTAGGACAAACCAAAAACAGTTTAATTATTACTGCTTACAACGTAAATTGTCTCATAGCAATAATTGATAAATAATACGTATTTTGGCAACATCTGTACTTTACCCACAGTTAGGCTGTAAATAAAAATTTTTGATAGGTTTTCGAACTAAAGAATTTCTACAATTACCAAAGTACATAAAACTTTTTAATATTTTAGCTTGTTTAACATTGTGACATCGTTTAACGATTTTTTGTAGGAGAAACCTTTAGAGAGGCCTAGGGTGCTCGGCTTATTTCGTATCTAGGTAATCCCATAAATTTTCGATGAGATTAATGTCCTGGCTTTGAGGAGAATCTATTTCCCTCTTCTCAATATTCTCTTCTTATTTATTACGCAGG